TTAACTTTGACACGTGTGTTTACATAAACTCGCAGATTAATTGATTCGATTTTAATGATCACAGTTTACAAAACATGATTTTGAACATATCTCAAATCTGCCTTAAGGGAATTTCGTTTAGTTGATAGAGCACCGGTTGGTGGGCCCATCGGCTCAGTTTGTTCATTGTGTCACGTCCCCCGGTTGAGACATCAAACCATTGTTCACCACAGGAAGTCGTGTTCAATCAGGTTCAATTAGGTCACAGTGTCATGGTTGGATGCTTCTCATCCAAACTGCTTCAGACAAAGAATGAAATGAAAATAGTTCTGACTCTCCTGTGTTTTATCAGCTCTAATTTAATAATACGCGATAACAGCTCTAATTTTAGTCACACGTGTAATCTGGTGCTGCTCTGCTCGGCTGCTCACGCTTTATTGTTGGGGACAGAAGCTCCACTTTCCCCTTGTTAATCACTTGTTGCCGTAATTATTCTAATTAAATATTGCACTGAATTATGTATGAATGTAAATGAGGTTATAAATAATTAACTTTGACAAGAGGAGGCTCTGCCTATTGCCTTTTCACAGCTGGAGGTAACAGTGGTAGAAACTCGTTGACTTATAAACGGGGTCAGGAGTCGTTTTTGCGGTCGTGTTGCAAACAAAATGATTATATAAAAGCGATAATTTATTCTAAGCATGAGAATTTCAGCTGAGTGAGATATAGAAGATGATGTGACGATATTTATTATTTTGAAAACAGTAAGTGAAATGAAATTACGTTTATTATTTAGAAATAACGTCAGTCATCAAGATGCATTTTAAAATATCAAAATGTGTTTATTTTGGAATCAATCATCATCTGACATTGATCCAATCGTTCTGCTGTGAAAGTAAGATCATGTTTCACAGTTGCACAGAATCTTAAATTCTCATCACAAAGTATCACTGACTGTAAATAACAGAGTAACAGACGATAACATTCACTGTCGTTACTCCAGCATGGCCTCGTTCCCCAGACCGAAGCCTTTCGGGCCGAAGTTTTTAGCGTAGCAAACTGAAGAGATGAAAAGAAAACAATGTTAAAGACAAACTCTTCAGCTTTGATTTTCACTAGTGTGTGTGTGTGTGTGTTGTGTGGTCAAGGTATCACTCATGTTGTGGGGCCCTAAATCTGTTTCCAATCTTCCTGATGGAGACAAAAATCTAGTCCCCATAACATAAATCATTACATTTGAAGGTGAAGATGTGTTTTAGGGTTTGTCATTAGGGTTAAGGTCAGTTTAAGGGTAAATAACTGTGGTTCAGGCCGAGTAAGTCTTCAGGAAATCAATGTATATGATGTCATGGAGACGTGTGTGTGTGTGTGTGTGTGTGTGTGTACCTTTACAGTACAGCTCTCCATCCTTGTCCGTCACTGTGGTCGACTCGAGGCTTTTACCACACAGTGCACAGCGAAAACAGGTTTTATGCCAGGGCTACACACACACACACACACACACACACACACACACACAGAGTAAAGATAAGGTAAAAAACTCTCTAAAGCATAACCCCCCCTTATCTATTTTTTTAACATATGATATATTGTGAATTTAACATTATCAGATTACACAGAAATATTTTTTAATGAATATAATTTAGCACTAATAGGAGCAGTCTGCTGGAGCAACAGCAAAAGGTGCCAACTTTAAATGTAAATGTAAATGTGTATTAAAAAAAAAGGTGGACTTGTTTAGAAATTGCAATAAACACAATACATGAATAAGATATTTAAGTGACAGATGCCCTCCTCACCTTTCCTGCTCCCATCACCCTCTCCGCTGCGTACACGGCTTTAGAGCAGCGAGAGCAGCGGTCCGACCCTCCGAACCTCTGCTGAGATTTACTGGGATTTGAGTTTGTTGTGGCAGGTTTGGGTTTAGATCTAAAAAAACAGAAGATAATTAAAAGATTCTGATGAGAACTTTGAAAGGAGATTTCCCAAGTGGATTTCTCAAAACCTAAATAATAATATGCCTTGTTCCCTTGTGATTTGGGTGAACTTGGTGTTTCTTATTGGTTTGTTCTGTGTTTTTATGACAATGCATTGTGTCATGTGAAGTGTCTCTGAGCGTGTTGAAATGCACATGTATGCATTTGTTATAATTGTTGTTACTCGTGAGGCCGCAGGTCGAGGCTGTGTCCGGGGGGATCCGAGCTCAGAGCTCCAGCTCCCTGCCCGTATCCGTAGCCTTTGGGCCCATATTTCTTGCCGTAGCAGGACTTGCAGTAGATCTCGGACTCGTGCGCTGCCATCGTGGTGCTGTCCAGCCCTTTTCTGCAGCTCACTGTGTGACAGACAGACACGACTCAGCTACACACACTTGAACCTGTTACCATTAAGACTCTGTCATGGAGGAGTCACAGAGTTTAAATAAAGCTCCTGCACATCGCTGGGTTTATCAGTCAACAGTGGCATTTACACGTGTACACATGTTTCTATTTGTGGGACGAGAGGAGAGTGTTGGAGAAAAGATGAACTCTCATCAGATGGATGAGGCCTCCACAGCTCCAGCTCATGACAGACGGCAGAGAACAGAAAACCTAAACAACATGGCCGCTGCCCAAGGCCGTGGATCAGAACTAAGAGAGGCTGATTGTTGCCTAGGACGTTTTGACTGCAACACAACAACAACACAACTGAAATCCAGGTCACAGAGGAAGAGGAGGAGACAAAAGAGGAGAAATGTTGGATGGAGAACGAGGACAAAACAGAAAAGATGATGGAGGAGAGAAAGAAAAGAACAAACTGACAAGAACTAAGATGAGAAATGGGGAAAAGAAAATGCAACAAGACAAAGATGAAGAAATGAAAGGAAAACGCCTGAACTCTTCTGCTGATCCACCATGAAACTGGTTCTGTTGGACAAGAAGAAGAAGAAGAGGAAGAAGAGGAAGAAGAGGATGAAGAAGTGAACTCACTGCAGATGAAGCAGGTTTTATGGAAGCTCCTCCCATTACACTGGATCTCCTCTGCGTGATACACCGTCTTCTCGCAGGCGGCACACTTCGCTCCTCCTCCCCAGTTTGGCATCTTAGAGAAACAAAACCAACAATTAATGATATTGAATAGAATAATAACATTAAAAAAATT